CTTCTCCTTACCTTCTAAGTACATCCCAAGGTTTTCCACCTCCTCTGAGTGATTTCTTCTCGTGCATCCTTTCTACCAACTTCACCAAACTACTTACAATACCTGCAACACTGTGATTTTTATCTTTAAAAAATATTTCATTTATTATATTTGAGAGGTAGAGTTACAGACAGTGAAAGACAGAGACAGAGAGAAAGGTCTTCCTTCCGCTGGTTCACCTCCCAGATGGCCACAATGGCTGGAGCTACGCTGATCTGAAGCCAGGAGCCAGGCGCTTCTTCTTGGTCTCCCACGCGGGTGCAGGGGGCCAAGGACTTGGGCCATCTTCTACTGCTTCCTCAGGCCGTAGCAGAGAGCTGGATTGGAAGAGGAGCAGCTGGGACTCGAACTGGTGCCCATATGGGATGCCAGTGCCTCAGGTGGAGGATTAACCTACTGTGTCATGGCGCTGGCCCCTGATTTTTACCTCTTAACATAGAACTTAACACCGAGTCTTCAACTCTCAAGTGGCCTGTTCTGGGGGAAGGATTTGCAGGGTCTTCGTCTCATTTAGATGGCTCTTCTCAGTTAGCCTACAGGGCCCCACCGCACCATACTGTTGCTGTTTCCCTTACTGCCTTTTCCCACCAGATAATAAACTTCCTGTCTGCTCAGATAAGTAGGAGTGAGGATGCATTTAACCTGAATACGGACACTGCCCCCAACCCCACCACCACCACTTTCAGGCCATGGGGAGCATGGTGAATGCCAAATGATGTTGCTAACACTGGACAGTAAGATCTAGGAACACAGAGGGGAGAAGTGCTGGAAGTTCAGGGCTGTCACCTGGCAGGTAGACATCAGGTACAAATGCATTCAGTGCACCTCCCTGACGAAGTGACACTTTTCTTTTTTTGTCTCAAAGTTGTGCAAATGTTTTACCTCCCACATCATACCTGGGAGCACATCTTGTCTGTGAACCCTCCACTATTCTTTGAAATACATTAGGTATCCAAACACGTTAAATTAATCAATCTCAATATTTTAAAATCATTTTGGGGGCCAGCACAGTGGCCTAAGCCTCCGCGTGTGGCACTGACATCCTTTATGGGTGCCGGTTCTAGTCCCGGCTGCTCTTCTTCTGATCCAGCTCTCTGTTATGGCCTGGGAAAGCAGTAGAAGATGGCCCAAGTGCTTGGGGCCCTGCACCTACGTGGGAGACCTGGAAGAAGCTCCTGGCTCCTGGCTCCTGGCTTTGGATCGGTGCAGTTCCAGCTGTTGTGGCCATTTGGGAGGTGAACCAGCGGATGGAAGACCTTTTTGTGTCTCCTTCTCTGTAACTCTACTTCTCAAATAAATAAATAAAATCTTAAAAAAATCATTTTGACACAGAAATTTAGACTTACCTTGCCTTTGATGAGACAAAGTCTCTGGAAGATAAAATATCTGAGGGACAAAATACTTGGGAATCTCAACTTCATAACCAGATATTTTGAGAACAGTGCTGTGATCCCTTGGAGAAAAGGAATATTAGGTTTTAAGGTTGGACCAACATATTCAAATAAAATTAAAATAAGATTGCCCAAACCATTAATATGTTGATATGCAAGTGTCTTCATCCTCAATTCTCATATACTTACATAAGGAACTGGGTATGTTACCAGAAAATGGCAGGGTTCTTGTCTTCGTGCAAGAAAGAATTCAGGTGTGAGACAGAGTAGTGGAAAGTAAAGTAACAAAGTTTATTAGGAAAAAGGACATCCATTAAAACGGATGGGCACCTCTCCAGACAGGACCTGAGAGAGTGCGCAGTTGCTCGGACGGGGGAGAAGGAGCAAGGTTACATGGTTGAGTGCAGCGATTACACCTGGTCAGGCAGGCGGGCGGCTCAGCATAGAGGCAGAGGGCTGAGTGCGCAGTCCGGTTGAGGCTGTGGGTTTTTAAGGAGATGGGTCTTTGTCTTCACACATCTCCTCCTGAAACAAAGGATTTTATGGATGTAAATATTAAGAAGCTCCTATCTGAGTTTTTCCCTGAAGGTATCAGACAGAAGGAAGCCTAGCTGACTCCTTCCTGAGTTTAGAGGAAGGGTGAGCAAGACCACCTGGAGAATCAGGATCCAGAGCAGGGTATTTGAGATGCAGATACTGGGCTGCATCTGGAAGGTTATCAGGCAGAAGGGGTGGGGGCCCCCACTTGGCAGGTTATAGGGTAGGAGGGGGCAGGGCAGGATGCGAATACTGGGCTGCCCCTGAAACTTTTATCGGGATGACTTTGAGATGCAGATGCATATGCTGGACATAGATGTCTTTTCTTTAGGCCTTTATGTCACACACACATATCTCATATGTGTCAGCTCATATCTGACTTCCTACCTAACAGGTACACTTCAATAGAAAATATTGGCTCAGGCTTGACACAAAGACCATGGGTTGTATTGTTTAGATGAAAAACCAATGACTTGGTCATGTTCTCAATTTATTTTCTTAGTTTCTTTTTTCACACATCTACCATATCTGGATTATAATTAATATGTTTATTACAGTAGCAAAATTATTTGAAAATTTTGATAAATCATTTTCTCAAAAATTTTACCATCTTAGTTTTTTTTTTTTATCATTTTGACTAACATTTTAGTTATTAATCTGTTCATCCTAAATTAAAGTTTAAATGTACCAAAGGCTCTGCTCTTTAAAACAAAACTCTGGAAATGTTAGCAGAGATCAACTGCTCATGGACTCTTGTCTTTGCTCAAGAGTTCAGATGTGAGAGGAGTGGTAAGCAGGGAGCAAAGCTTAATGAAGAGAAATCATGCAGAGAAGTATGCCTGACAGCCCAGCCGGGTGTCTCACTGAAGGGCTGAGAGCCCAGTCTGCATTCAGACCAGGGCTCATAATGGGATGGGGTCATTCTTCCCTCCTCTCCTTTGGACAAAAGGTTTGCTGGGTGTGCAAAAGGTCAAGTTGCTACTGTTATCAGGCTGAGTAGCCCTCTTGGCTCTGGGCTGAGGAGATTCCTCTAGAGTGCCTTCCTTGGCTGTGAAGGAGTTATCACCCAAGTTATCAGAGTAGCCCATCAGGCCTGTGCCGAGAGGTTTCTTTGAGGGAGTTTCCCTTGAGAGTGGAAGGCTGAGACTACCTGTAAAACTATCAGGATATGGGCAGGACATTGTAGTGTTCAATACTGGGCTGAGGGGGCCGGTGCTGTGGCATAGTGGATAAAGCTGCCACCTGCAGTGTGGGCATCCCATATGAGCGTTGGTTCGAGTCCCGGCTGCTCCACTTCTGATCCAGCTCTCTGCTGTGGCCTGGGAGGGCAGTGGCGGATGGCCCAAGTCCTTAGGCCCCTGCGCTTGCGTGGGAGACCCAGAAGAAACTCCTGGCTTCGGATCGGTGTAGCTCCGGCCATTGCACCAATTGGAGAGTGAACCAGCAGATGGAACCTCTCTCTCTCTCTGTGCCTATCCTCTATCTGTGTATAACTCTTTCAAATAAATAAATAAATCTTAAAAAACAAACAAACAAACAAACAAAAAAAACTGGGCTGCTTCCAAGGTGTGCTTCCCAGGCTGCTAGAGGCTGGTGCATTCCTTTCCACAGGTGCTCTGTTTTTCTTAGGCCCCTCACACGTACACAGGCCAATTTCTAACTTCCTTAATAGAAACAATCTTGAAAGAGAAAAGTCATTCTCAATCATCCCTTTATCTGCTTTGTAGATTTTATTTTCTTATTATATACATGTATTAAAGATTTACTTCTTTATTTGAAACACAGAGTTAGAGAGAGAGAAAGAGAGAGAGAGACAAGAGAGGTCTTCCATCTTCTGGTTCACTCCCCAAATGGCTGCAATGGCTGGAGCTGAGCCAATCTGAAGCCAGGAGCCAGGAGTTTCTTCCAGGTCTCCCACATGGGTTCAGGAGCCCAAGGACTTGGGCCAGCCTCCACTGCTTCCCCAGGCACATCAACAGGGAGCTGGATCAGAAGTGGAGCAGCTGGGACTCAAACTGGTGCCCACAAGGGATACTGGAGCTGAAGGCCAGGGCTTTAACCTGCTGCACCACAGTGCTGGCCCCTATTCTATATTTTCTCATAGAATCACTAGTAAAGAAAAGGAGCAAAACAGAGGAGACAGAATATAAACTCACAGCCAAAATGAACTGATCCAAGGGAAAATAAATTTACAGAGGTGGCCAACTGCCACTTTGCACGCAGATTGAACATGCGGCAGAGGACACAGTCCCCCAATAGGCTAGAGTTTATGTATCTTAGGGTAGGCTGAGTCGGAGGGGAGGGCAATGAGTGGAGGTGAGCTGCTGCTTACTGGTTTTTTCATGGGCTTTCAAACCTGGAAAACAATGCAGAGGGTGGGTGGGGAATAAGAAAGGGTGTGGGGCTGGGCTAACTCTTGAAAAAACGCAGGGGTGAAGGGAATTTTATCAGAGTTCAGCCAAGGAACTAAAATGGCTGAGGCTTAGGTCCTTGTGCCATCATCACCTACTTATTCCTATCTGGGAAACAAATGCAAACAAATATATGTTTTAATTTAAAATTTCAAATTATTAAGAGTATAGCTTTGACTACTTTGGTATAGGGGAAAGATTAGTCAGTCACTGTGTGAGGGGAGAAATATGTGGCTGAACCTCATATATAATAAAGGCAGAAACAATAAAAATAGCATAGTTTGGTCAGATAATCAAGAGTGAGTAGAAAGTTAAGACATTTTTAAACATTAAAGAATATAGGAATGAATAAGGCAGGGCAAGCATTGTGGTGCAGCATTTAAGTTGCCACTTCGAATGCCCACATCTCATTCTGGAGTGCCTGGATTCGAGTCTCACCTCTGCTTCCAATCCAGCTTCCTGGGAGTCAGCAAGTGATGGCTTGAGTGGTTGGGTCCCTATCTCCCATGTGGGAGACCTAGATGAAATTGCTAGCTCCTGGCTTTGACCTGGCCCAGCCCTGCTTGTTGCAGGTATCTGAGGAGTGAACCAGCAGATGGAAGTTTCTCTTTCTTGTTCTACCTTTTTTTTTTTTTTTTGGATTTATTTTATTTATTTGAAAGACAGAGAGAGAGAGGCCTCCCCAGGTGGCCACAAGGGCCGGAGCTACACCGATCCAAAGCCAGGAGCTTCTTCAGGGTCTCTCACATGGGTGCAGGGGCCCAAGGACTTGGACCATCTTCTACTGCTTTCCCAGGCCACAGCAGAGGGCTGGATAGGAAGAGGAGCGGCCACGACTAGAACTCGTGCCCAGATGGGATTCCAGCACTTCAGGCCAGGGCTTCAACCCACTATGCCACAGCGCCAGCTCCAATTGTTCTACCTTTTGATAAGTTTTAAAAATGTTAACAATAAAATGAATAAGGCAAAACATGGAAATCCTAAGATGAACATGAATTGCAGAAAAAGAAAACTGGAGAGAACAATTTTTAACAGCTCAGTAAAATACATTACTTATAAAGGTAGGTTTCCCTATAAGAAAGAAGAAAAGCTGTCATTATATTCCTTTAGGATGGGCCAAATCACTTAAAAATAATGGTCAGATATACCCAAATACTTTGTTCTTTTTTTTTTTTTTTTTTTTTTTTTTTTGACAGGCAGAGTGGACAGTGAGAGAGAGAGAGAGAGAAAGGTCTTCCTTTAGCCGTTGGTTCACCCTCCAATGGCCGCCGCGGCCGGCACGCTGCGGCCGGCGCACCACGCTGATCCGATGGCAGGAGCCAGGTGCTTCTCCTGGTCTCCCATGGGGTGCAGGGCCCAAGTACTTGGGCCATCCTCCACTGCACTCCCTGGCCACAGCAGAGAGCTGGCCTGGAAGAGGGGCAACCGGGACAGAATCCGGCGCCCCGACCGGGACTAGAACCCGGTATGCCGGCACCGCAAGGCGGAGGATTAGCCTAGTGAGCTGCGGTGCAGGCCAAATACTTTGTTCTTAACCAAATTTCCTTAGCTAGGTTTCTCTCATCAACAACAGAACATGCCCTAAATGGATCATCATATGCTGGAGATATTGTGGCATAGCAGGTTAAACGGACAATTATAACCCCTGTATCCTGTATGAGTGCCAGAATGAGTCCTTACTGTTCTGCTTCTGATCTAGCTTCCTGCTAACGCACTTGGGAAGGCAGTGGATGATGGCCCATGTGCTTAGGCCCTTGTCACCCATGTGGGAAACCCAGATGGAATTCCTGGCTCCTAATTTTTGTCTGCCCCAGCCCTAGCTATTGAAACCATTTGAGGAGACATCCATCCAGTGGATGGAAGATCAATCTCTCTCTCTCTATCTCTTCCTCCTTCACTCTGCCTTTCAAATACATAATAAATCTTAAAAAAAAAAAATGAAGAGTGTGGTTCCTTTGGCCATCTTAGTTCTTGCTATATATATAAACAGACTGGTTTCCAAATAAAACTTCATGTTAATTTAATGGATATGAAGTAGTTCTTCAGTGAATATGATGAGTACATGAGAACACAAAATTAAATTTAATGTGCCTATTAGAGTGCTCATTACAAAGAAGGTTCTCTGAAATCTTTCCCCTTCCTTCTCCTGCATTTCTGTAGTGTGAAATAATAAACCCATAGTCCAAAAGATCTATATAAAACAGGAATTGTTTGTTGCTGATAGCTTACCATAAATATTTGATAATTTATTATGAAAACATTTTGCATACTGCCACACAAATACTGAACATGGTTTTATGAAAGTTATAATTCTTTGACAAAAATATTTCCTTAATACCATGATAATCTGTTTTCTTCTTTACATCAGTATACCTTCTAAGACTAGGGTTAGAAGTTAACCACAGCAAATACAAAAATTTTGTTTTTTGGTTTATAAATATGGTCTGATGCACAATAATATTGACCAGCATTTCCATGCACTTCAAGAAAAATGGTCTGATACACAGTCAAGATATGGATAACTGACACATTTAAAAGGTACACATTTCTGGTTACAGATCTGAAATGGAAATGTTACAGTAAAACTGGTAAACTTACAACTACCACGCAGAATTTTTCACACTCAAAAAGACCAACATCATCAAACAACAAAGAAATTTGGCATTAGGTGGACAGCATCTAAGTTTCAGTGTTCATACGCCGCTTTCATGCATGGCACAGCCTTATCACTGCCCCTGTCCTTGGGACTCAGAGCTTGAGAGTAAACACACTTCCCTTGTACCTTTCCTCATGCTAGGTCTCTGATGTTTTCCTAACTCTCGCAGTCTTCTAGAATCAACTTTGAGATTTTCATTCAGCAGCACTGGGTCAAATCTCTTCTATACATGACCTCATCCTTCTCATGTCTCCTCTGTTTGCAGAGAGCCGGTCAAAGTCTTGGAGGTGGAAACGAGTGGCCAACTGATTGACCATTTTCCTCAAGGTAAGAAATGCTGAAACAACTTGGAAAGTAAGGAAGATGGTGAAGATGATATGTATTGCTTTTTCCAAGGGCAGATTTGTTAGGCCTTCATTAAAAAGCAAGAAAAGAATTAAAGGCAACTGCAGCAGAAGGCTCAAAAGCCAAAAGCCAGCCAACTCAGGAACCTGCAATGACATGATGAGGAAAAGGATCAGGCCAATGCAGTGTTTTGCTTACACAGATAAACAAGGATTTAACACTACTAAGGATCTACATTATGGACTCTGAATAATTCAAAAGGAGGGTGATGTAGTCCTTCTCCTCAGAGAACCTACAGTATAGATCAGAAAACTAGCTTATATGAAACAGTCCTAGAATGCTAAAAACTTCATTGAATATTTAACTGCAGAATTTAGAGATATTGGACTAAGTGGTACAAGTAGTAACACAGTGATTGGTGTAAGTGAAAGAAAAACTATAAGGATGTAGGCTTTATTTATTCAAAAACTACTTATTTATTTTATTTGAGAAAAAGAGTTTGTGTTTGCTGGTTCACCCTCCAGATACTGGCAGGTCTGGACCAGGTGGAAGCCAAGAGCCAGGAATTCAATTCAGGTTCCCATGTGGTGGCAGGGACCTGCCCACCGTCTCCCAGGGTGAACATTAGCAGGAAGGTGAAATGAGGAGCACAGCCAGAACTCAAACTCAGGCACTCAGATACGGGATGTGAGTGGTTCAGCTGGTGTTGTGACTACTAGGCCAAATGCCTGCCCTGAGGATATAAACTTTGGAAGTTGTGCAAAAGGAGGAAGAGGCAAGAAGGTAAGTAAGCAAGCATGTGAAAGGAGCATGACTGGGAACCAACACATCAACCTGGAATGGAAGGCTGGGCTAAGAAATACCAAGCAAAACACTAAGATGGGCTGGGTGGAGCATCGTTATGAAAGGCCTAGAAAACCACAACCTCTTCAGGCATCCTTCCCACACCCTGGCAACCATAAATGCTTAGGCAGCGTAACGACTCAGAAAACACGGGCCTGGCTGAGGAAATTCGTTTATAACTCCCCTTTCTCTCCTGATTTCTCATTCAGGATCCAAATTAACATGGTCAATTGACCAAATATCTTTGAGACTGATAAGGAGAGAAGAACATTATCAATTCTTCAGTGCTTACTATATTCAGGGACTTGATATCAGTCATTTCACTTAATCCCAACAAGCCCGTGAAGTGTATTTTCCCCATCTTAAAGATGATGAAACCGGGGCTCAAGAGATTAAGCAAAGAGACCACGATAGCAGATGAGCAAAGCTGGAGCCAGGGACTAAATTCAGGCTTATGTCTTTCCACCACACCTCACTGCCTTTAACCTGTTATGAAAACCTTGATGCACTTTGATGCGGTGCTGAGAGAAAGGAAAACGGAACCTACCTTTTCCTGTAGGTTACCCATGTAGCCCAGATATAAACGAATTGCTTCAATTAAGGTTATCAGGACGATAACAGTGATCACAATGAATTTGTAGTAATCAGGCAAGATAGAATACTAAAAGAGAAATAAAACAATAAAGTTTGCAAAACCTCACACTGACCTGGGGTTTAAAAAAATACTGAGACCATTCCATTTCTGGACAGTGTAGCAACATCAAGGGTGCGCAGAAGGGGCCTCGGCAGACGCTAAAGCGCAGACTCACCTTCAGCTGAAGCATCATAATGCAGCTCACCCACCAAAGGGGGAAAAAGTAAGTGTTAAAGTAAAGTGACATCTGCAGTGCCAAACTGGAGACCATCTCGTTATCTGCGGAAGAAAGAGAAAGGAGCACATTCTAAATCCTGGGAGTCCTTTCGTTCCTTAGAATTCATAGCTATAATATTGGCTCAATCAGGATCCAATGTTTAAGCCTATTTATTGTTGACAGTGAAAGAAACATTTATCCTAATACCATTTAGTTCAAATATTAATTATTTGGGGATACATTCCATATTTTTCAGTTACTCTGTCATTTTGCCATCACAGTTTGCTGACCTTTGCACACTACTGCACCAATTAAAGGTGGAATAACAGGAATCCTAGTAAACAGATAATAATTGTCATTGCCTTCTTTGTAGAGTGTTATGTAAAGAGCCTACAAAATGAAAACATACATAAAAATGACTCTCATATACATAATAATTTCCTCAAATTAGGCACATTCCTCTTTTCAACATTCCTTAATCCCACTATTTTTTTTTTTAATTTAGCTGTTTGAAAGGCAGAATGAGGAAGAAATACAGAGTGGATAAGAGAGCTATCTTCCACCTGCTGCTTCACTATCCAAACGCCTTCAACAGCCAGGGCTAGGCCATGCTGAAACCAGAAGCTCCACCTGTGGCTTCCACATGGGAGGCAGGAACCCAAGAACTTGAGCCATTGTTCGCTGCCTCCCAGTGCATTAGCAGGAAACTGGATCAAGAGTGTAGAGTAACCTGAACTTGATGTGAGATGTGGGCACCCAAGTGATGGCTTAACCTGCTGGGCTACCATGCCCACCCCATCCATTCTTCAGTACTCTCTTTCCCAACAAGTTCTTCCTTGACGGTATTCCCTGACCCCAGCACACAGCTCCCTCCCCTCTACACCGTGTAGAAGTGGTAGCAGGGAACCACACACCCCTCCCCACAGTAGCAGCCTGGTGTGCTGAGGAGCTCATGAACATAAACCCAGACCTCCCCAAATCCCTGTGCCTCCAGATGCCAGACTTGGGGTAAGTTATTAAACCTCTTTGAGCCTCAGCTTCATCTGTAAAATGCTAACACTCAGACCACTTCATAGGCTGCTTGTGAGGATTAGAGATGATATAAAGTATTTCATCATAGCACCATGCCTGCTACTCTTAGTAGATACTCTGCAAGTATTAGCCCTCTCCTCACCTATTTATACAGTCTCCTTGAAAGCACAGCCCGGGTCCTACCCATTTTGAGATGTTCACAGAACCTAGCATCTTGCTTCATTCATGGTGAACACCAAACACATGTAAGCAGAAAGAGTGAATTAATAATAATTAAAAAAAAACAAACCGTAATAGGATGTAACCGTGTAGCCTTTTGTGATACACGAGTTCCATTTATCTAAGTTTGATTGTATAATACGTTCTGCTTTTATGAAGGGCAAAAGGGCCCTAAATTAAGAATCTGATTTTAAACCTGAACCCTAAAAAATGCATCCTAAATGTAAGCAAAATCTTAAGAGCAAATTTTAAAATCAATTGCTCTAAACAGAAGATTTTACAAAGATGCTAAAATAAATTTCTTATATTTTTATTTTTCTCCATAGTTGAGTATTTTATCTGTCATTTAATAATGCAGAAACCGGAAGATCTAATTTTTCACACGGCTTTCTCTGTACATCCTAAATCAAGAGGCCTGTGCGGGGGAGGCAGGTGCTCAAGGGGACAGGATAGAACTCTGCCGCTCACTCTGCTTTTCTCTACTCCCTTTACACACACACACCAGGCAGAGGGAAAGACTTCTATTTCCTGGCAGAGTTAAGTGGTGACGGCCACATGAATTTGGTCACAGTATGCTGTCATTGTGATTTAGGAGGCAGAAACTGCCTTATCACTTGTCATCACGTAGACCGCAGCACTTCTGTTAGCAGCTTTAAGGGAAGGCGATTTTTAGGGAGGAGAGGGAGGGGGCGAGTTCTGTGGAAGGCCCCCGTGGTCGGCAGCTACCACTCTGCAGTGCGTCGCGGTTTAAAATGACTCGCGAGACGTTTTTCATCTCTTATGCTGGAAAATGATCCTGTGAGGAACGGACACGTTCTGTTAGGGAAACAGAAAAGGCAAAGCTATTTCTCCAGGCCGGAGGCCGGAGGGTCGGGAAGCGAGATTGCTCGCGCTGCGACGACGGCCTTCTGTGTGTTTTATGTCTGTGATCTCTGCCTGCGTGGCGCTGAGTCTCACGCGGTGCAAAGGGTGACACCACCCCGACTGCCGCGTTTGCAAGGAGTGGGCCGAGCAGCAGCAGCAGCAGCCCGAGCCGAACCCCAGAGGCCTTCAGCCTGGCACCGCCTCCAAGCAGCTCTCCCCAGCGCTGCAGAGAACCAGCTGAAGGCGAAACCGCCATTTTAGGTCTGGGCGAAATCTAGACGCTCCAAACCCCGCGCGGGCCACACCCCCTGCACCGGGCCTCGGCCACTCACCGGGACCTTCATTGTATTCCGGCCCGGTCCGGGTGGAGTCGCTGAACACGGTCCGGCTGAAGTTTCCCAGCCGCTGGCGAACCGGATCTGGCAGCTCCATGGCTGGGCCACAGGGTCCCTCGCCCCCTCAGGCAGAGGCAGGACGGCGGGCGCAGCCGCGCTCTGCGGTTCCCACGGCAACCGGGCGCCGCGAGGCGCGGCGGCCCCGGGCGCGCGCGAGGCCGCACTGCGAGCCGCACTGCGGGGCCTAGGGTGGCCCGGAGCCCGCGTGCCTGAGAGCTGCAGATGGGGAGCTGGCTGCCAGCCTCGGGAGCCCCGCGTCCTCGCATGTCAGCCGTGCGACTCCCTTGATCAGAAACTACAATAAATGACTCAGGGGTGGATTGGGCAGTAGCTTGGTGCAACCTTTACGGGGAGAAAAGCAAAGCACACGCAGAGCCTAAAGGATGTTTGTGACCTCCTGAGAGCGTGTGTGTATGTGTGTTTGGTGATTGTGCACCGATATATTTTTCTAAAAGAAATATAGCAGTGGTAACTATTAAATGTATTGGAATACATTTCTTCTAGGGAATATACTGCAGTACCTTAAAAAATGCTTGCAGAAATATTTGATGATATGGATTAACTTTAAGTATGAAATTAAAAAGCGGGAGAAAAATGAGATGAAGGTAAGGTAGCAAAGTGCGTGCGTGTGTGTGTGTGTGTGTGTGTGTGCAAGAGAGAATGTGAATGAATAAGTGGAGGGGAGGGGACAGCTTGTCCACACTCCAGAAAACGAGAAAGGCACAGACACGTGTGGTGTGCCCAGATGAAGAAACAACCTTACTCTCCCTCTCAGAGCACCCCCTTGCTAGTCCCTGCCTAGCTCTGTCGCCCCACCCCCAGCTGACTTTTCCTGACTTCAAATCATAGTACAGGGTAGTTTTCCTATTTTCATACCTAAGAAAAGTTATCACACATTAAGTCCTTTTTAAAAACATTGTGATTCGAGTCCCAGCTGCTCCACTTCCGATCCAGCTCTCTGCTATGGCCTGAGAAAGCAGTAGAAGATGGCCCAAGTCCTTGAGCCCCTGCACCCACGTGGGAGACCTGGAAGAAGCTCCTGGCTCCTGGCTTTGGATGGGCCCAGCTCCAGTCGTTGTGGCCATTTGGGGAGTGAACCAGCCAGGAGATGGAAGACCTCGCTCCCTCCCTCTCTCTACCTCTGCCTCTCTGTAACTCTGTCTCTCAAATAAATAAATCTAAAAAAATAAAAATAAAAACATTGCTCTTTTCCCTCAACACTGTCTTTATGAAATTTCTTCTTATTGAATACAGATCCCTTTTCCTTGCTGCATAGGATCATACTATAATAAATGTATACATTCTACTATCAGTGAGCATTTGTATCTCAGGTTGCAGCTATTACAAATAGTGCCACTTTTGGTGTAAAGATACCTCTTGGTAAACATGGGCATATATATATATAGTAGAATTGCTGGGACCTAGGGTCCGTTACTGCCAACAGTCTTCCAAAATGATTATGTCAATTCCTACTGCTGTCCACAATACATGGACATCCCTGTCAATGCACTTCACCAATGCTTGCTGTGTCCTTTCTTCTTAGCCTCACTGGCGGGTATGTGACTCACAGTATTATTTTGCAATCAAAGGAAATAGGTTTGGGAAGAAATAGCTTTGAAACTAGAATTTCGAAATAATTCAACAAATAATGAATACGTCTCTACTAGATTTGGGGATGAGGGAGTTCTATTGCGTTGTTTAGGAGTATCATCCCTCCAGGTAGGGACGTCCAGCCCAAGGAAAGAGAGACATTAAAGCACTCTACATTAAAGCACTCTACTGCAGGAGTACTGATGAAGAAGCAATTGATTGAGACCGGGGTTGTCGGGGAAAAGCTGGCTAACTTCTGTTTCATTTCAAGATGGCACTCAGGCCGTCCTGAACCTCCCTGAAGCTGGCTTAGGTGCCCTCCTCTGTGTTTGCCAAAGCATCTTCTTGTTTCTTAGGTCACAGTGCTGGTCACTCTGTACTATAACTGCCTGTTTATGTGTGGTAAACAAAGAGAACTTAGCAACAGAGAATCACTTTTTGTCAGTTAAACACAGTAAGTTGTTTTTTTTTAATATAAAGGGTGCAGTGAAGCTATAGCACTTATACTTTGTTAGTTGAATTATTATTTAGACAACCTGTTGAGACAAGTAATCAACAGTATGTTCAAATAGCCTTAAACATGTTCCTGTTGGGGCAGGTCTTTAGCCTAGCAGTTAACATACCCATGTCCTATCTTGGAATGCCTGAGTTTTATATCTAATCTGTGACCTGACTTCAGCTTCCTGCTAGTGCAGACCATGGGAGGCATTAAAGATGGTTCAAATAATTGAGTTCCTGCCACCCACTGGGAGAACTTGATTGAGTTCACAGCTCCAGCTTCAGTCATTCTCAGTCCCAGCCATTGTGGGCATCTGAGGAGTGAACCAGTACATGATAACTCACCAGCTCTCTGTCTTTATGTCTTTCTGCCTGTCAAATACATTTTTGAAAAATTAAAAATATAAAAATTCCCACATTTAATGCAATAATCCAAATCTTGAGGCTCTTTTGGGGTAAATAATCATGGAAACAATATATCTACACCAAGGCATAATTTCCAACATTATTGATATTAATTTAAAAAGGAGGGGGGAATGGGTACTTGTGGTACCCGACCACAGGGCCTCATTAAGCAGATTATGATGGTCATGAAGAGGCAGTAAGCTGTAGTGGAAGAAATACCCTTGGAAATAGAGGGATAAGACACAAATCTCTGAAAATTCTCAATTTACCACCTAGGAACTCTGTGGTCCATTTCAGACCCTCGTTGTGTAAAGTGAGAAAGCTAATACTTTATTGTTATGGTTGATGTGAAAATTACATTATTAAATAATGCTCTCTAAATATGATAGCTATCATTTACATGTCTATTAAAATGATATGTGTGAAGAAGAAACAGCTAGAGTGAAGTCAAATAATGCTAGCATTTACTTTTCTGAATTCAGCTGTGCCAGTTAGGTAATACTGCTGTTGCTTCCCTGTAAAAACCATTGATGCAGTCACCCAAAACAGTCCATGCATTTTAACCATGTTTATCACAAGCCCGAGTGAATTCTTTTAAAGATTTCTTGTCTAGCATTGAAAAAAGAAGTGGGAGTGGTCATTTAGCCTAGCAGTTAAGATGCCTGCATCCCACATTGGACTACCTGGATTCAATTCCCAGCTCTGGTTCTTGACTCCAGCTTCCGGCTAATGCAGACTCTGAGAGACAGCAGTGATAGCCCAACTGATTGGGTTCCTGCCACCCATGTTGTGAGACCTGGGTTGAGTTCCTGGCTCCCAGCTGAAGCCCTAGCCAAGGAGTTGTTTTTGGCATTCTCAGGGAGTGAATCAGTAGATAGGAGTGCTCCTGCTCCTTCCCTCTCTTGCTCTAGCCATCTCCTCTCACGAATCTCTCTTACTGTCCCTCAGCTAAATAATAGTAAAATTATGTTTTAAAAATCATGGAGGAAGAAATGGATAAAATTATGGGTATTTTTCCTTCTAATTTTTAATTTAAATTTCCAATAATCATCCATTTCAGTTAGAAAAAACCTACTAAAAGCAAAATGAGAAGATGGTACACAAATATATTCTAGAGAATCTGAGATAAAAGAAAGTGTGGTTTGGAAAAAATCCTGCTCTTACTGATGTCACAAATGGTCCAAAAGAATCAAAAAACTTCCCCAGTATGATTTTGTTAGTTGATGCTCACAATTTTTATATGCAGTCACATTAATAAAATTGTGAAGTACATAAGAGGAGATCCACTTTTGCAGAAGAAAAAGGCCAGTGTATTTGGGCTTCCAACATCCAGACCTACTACTACTCATTTAGAACCTAAGAAAGAAGAATGGAGTCCCTGTTCTTAAAATCATGGGATACATTACAGAAAGATTAATAAATAGCCCTAAAATAAATAAATAGAAGTTAAGCTTAGTTCTTTTTTTTTTTTTAAGATTTATTTATTTTATTTGAAAGTCAGAGTTACATAGAGAAGCAGAGAGAGCGAGAGCAAGAGAGGTCTTCCATCTGATGGTTCACTCCCCGATTGGCTGCAACGAACGGCTTCGCCAATCTGAAGCCAGGAGCCAGGAGCCAGGAGCTTCTTCCAGGTCTCTCATGTGGGTGCAGCGGTCCAAAGACTTGGGCCATCTCCCACAGCTTTCCCAGGCCATAGCAGAGAGCTGGATCAGAAGTGGAGCAGCCAGGTCTCGAACCGACGCCCATATGGGATGCTGGCGATTCAGGCCAGAGCATTAACCCACTGAGCCACAGCGCCGGCTCCAAGCTTAGTTCTTACACCAATGTTGATATTCAGGGTAATAGCAGCTTCTCCAATAATTGTTTAGTGTATATCATTACGAGCTCATTACACTTATGGTTTACATCATTCATTTTCCACAAATATTCTGAGGCTAACACAATGGCTTGCTTCTCTTTCAAAGAGACATAGTTACCTGGTAATAATGTATTATCTTTTATGACAAGACATTGATTTGAGGAGTTTGTTATTCCTTGGCTCAATAAAGATATAAATTCTTCCCACTGGATGCTAATAAGGAGTTTAGAAATACTATATTAAGTGTATGTCATTCAATGCATTGCTTTAAATGAATTGTGAGATATTTCTAAGACTGAATACATTTAAAAGGTAAATTATCTATTTGAATGTAATGTCTTCAGATACGACTCCACATCAGCATCCACATTTATAAAAACTTACTCTAAATTACCTGACATGTAATCTTACAATCCTCAAATTATAAATGGATAACCAAAGCTTTGAATCCCTAGTATAATCTATTCTATTCACAGTACTTTTCAAAGGTTTATAAGAAAGAATCAGACTATGAATTACATAGAAAGTAAAATCTCATGAAAGGAATTTTTCACACTATATTCAGTGATATTTCAAGGCTGACTTTTTAATATTTTGTCTTCAAATACAGCCCCATTGAGAGCCTCCTCATAGCTGGTTCGGGGACTTGGACAGAGTGTGAGAGAGAGAGACAGAGAGAGAAAGGTCTTCCTTTGCCGTTGGATCACCCTCCAATGGCCGCCGCTGCAGCCGGCGCACCGCGCTGATCCGATGGCAGGAGCCAGGAGCCAGGTGCTTTTCCTGGTCTCCCATGGGGTGCAGGGCCCAAGCACCTGGGTCATCCTCCACTGCACTCCCTGGCCATAGCAGAGAGCTGGCCTGGAAGAGGGGCAACCGGGACAGAATCCGGCGCCCCGACCGGGACTAGAACCCGGTGTGCCGGCGCCGCAAGGTGGAGGATTAGCCTATTGAGCCACGGC